ACATAAAATTATTAAGTATTTTAATATTACTTTAAATAATATTAATTTAATTATATGATATTGATATTCAGCATTTTTTTGATTTCTAAGACACTAAAATAAGCACATTTATAATGCTGAGCATGTTAATTGCTTTTTCATAAAAGGTCAGGTCTTCCCGCCAGGATAAACAATTTTAAAATAATTTTTTTTCCCCTCAAATTGTTATTTTGCTACTATAATTTTAATGCAAAACTGAAGCATTTTCACCAATGGTCTCAGACCTTTGGACCCCATTGTATGTCTTAATGTCTAATTCTTTTAAGTAGCATTATCCCAACAATATTAACCCTATAAAACCTACTGTATCATATTTGACACACATTTCTAAGGCCTCTAAATTACTAACATGTAACAACATTGTAAAAAAATAATTGTTTGACCTTTTCTCACAAAAATGACTTGCCCACATGTCTGAGACAGGGATGCTTGGGTTCATGGTCTCCTGCCAAACAACTCCTCAAAAACACTGAACATGAAAACACCCTATGATTTCCACACTCATCAGTGCCCGCAGACACGCGCACACAGAACACGAGCGTCACACCAGGACATGAGGAATACAGCGAGGGCTCTTGTTGCTTAGATACTGATGTACCACTGTCTCTTTCCATGTTAATGTCACAAACCACAATTAGGCTGTGACCACCATAGACAAAGCATGATGGAAAATGACTTCACAATCATGTTACATAGAATCCCAGTACATCAACGTTAGCACAACTTCTCATGTTAACAAGAGGAAGTTTATCCGATTAAGAACTGTATATAATTTCCAGTGGTGCTGATGTCAACTTGTCAACTTAAAAAAAATAAATAAAAATCGGGTTTACAGTGAGGTACTTACTGTACAATGGAAGTAAATAGGGTAAATTCTTAAACACTAAAATACATATATATACACAATAACAAACAATAAATATGATCACTTAGGTTATTTACACAAGATCACTTGTGTAAATATGATTTTAGTGTGGTAAAATTGCTTACTAACCTATTCTCTGTAAAGTTATACTCATTTTTACTTTGACATCTTTGACATGGCATCACAAAGCCGTAAAACTCTAAAATGACTGTAAAAATGGTGATTTAAACCTAAAAACGTAAATAATACACACATTTTCACAGGAGAATTAAAGTCTGTGTTTTTCTACATTTATATTTATATTTCAGCTTTTAAGCCCTACAAAATTGTACCCCATATTTACAAATATAAGTGTAAATGTCTCACTGTAACCTCAACGATTGATTTTGAGAAAATGAGGGCCAAAAAAAAAATATTTTTTTGACAAGCTTGTTACATTAAATTATAAACAACAGAAACTTTTCCTGATCAGTTAGGAAATGAGACGAAAACTCACCTGAATTTCCATCCCAAAACGGCATCTTTGTAACCTCTAGGGTTGTTCGGATTCTAAATGAACTCTGTATTTAAATTAGCATTATATAGTGTGGTGTTGGTAACTATTCCCAGAATAATGACATGTTCCACATGACTGTGATGTCATGGAAAACGGGATACACAGTCTAAACAGTGTGTGCTTAAATCTCACTTAAGAAAGCGCACACCCAGATGAGACACGTGTAATTCATGCAATGTCAAAAAACACTCCACAAATGAGTAATCCTCCACCTAACCTTGCATCCTAGTTTAATCATTGTTGTCTGGAAATAATGTCCATAAAATCATTCAGAGTCTTATCCCGCCCATTTGAGGTCAAAATGGCAACACGTTGCCTTAACCTAAGTGATCATCAACTCAACACTTCATTACTTATATCCAAGGTTCAGTGCCAGATAGCACACAGCTAGACATTAGAGTGGAAAACAAGTGTAAGGCTGTAATCAAACATGGAGTAAATTGTTATGATTTTATTAAACATTTAAATTAAAGTATTGCTAAAGTATAATCATAAAGAACAATGCAGACTGTAGTCATAAAAATTGCAACCATATTTCATTGTTGTGCCATGAAAAACTATCCATACTATCTGATATGTATATATGCATATAAATAGTTATATTATATTATATTATTATGAGGGACAACAAGACATCCAATATTTAAACTCTTGTCTTGACCATGTAAGTAAATGCAGTTTCATACAAAATGCACAATATCGAAAAAGTATGTGACAATTATTTACAAAGAACTGTTTACGTGGAAAAATATTGTCCATTATATAGACGCTCAATTTTTTTTTCCTATGGAATAATTAATAGAAATATTTGAATAAAATATGAGCTTCACTTCTGCCTAGCCACATAGATTCCACATACACTTTAGTTTGTTTTTGTGAACAGAGGTGCTAATCGCAGGTTTAACTTGTATTAAACCCTGAACATTCCCTTAAAGGAAAAAAAGATGTTACCTATAGATCATTTGCAATACTCCTAAATAACTGTGATTTAATCTGATTTCCTGTGTTTGAGTGCCAACCCTTCAGACATGGAACATAAACTACCAAAAATCACACATCTCTAGAGACTTTCCATTTAAGGGAGTTTAACAATTACAACATAATTACATCATTTCCGTATCATACTGTTGTGCATTATCTTCATGGTACAATAGGATTAAAAAGTGCAAACTAGCAGCAAAGAGGAAGATCTAAAGTACCTGATATCAATTTGCACTTTCATTTGCTCTTTAATCTCAAAAGGTGCAGTAAATAATCTCTTATTAATACTGACAGTAAGTTTGCTTTTTGTGATTAATTTGTTTACTAAAACTCTGGGTTAGCTAAATTAGCTATAGGTTACATGTTCTAATATTTTTGAAAATGTCAACATTGTGGGCTCAAAGACCATTATTCAAGCATCTATGTGAGTTGAGTTAGTGCTGCAGTTTAGGCATCACCTTTCTGCTCAAGTGTCAAACCACATCTACACTTAAATATTACAAAGCGCAACATCCTGTTGACTCTATGATAAGGTGTTGAGCCATACAGTGTCGAAAAAAGTTTATAATGACTAACTGTAAAACAATATGAATGGAAGTTGTGGCAGTCTACATGCAGTTAAAAATTATCCAACTTGTAAAAAAGCAAGTGGGTCAATGAAGTGGCGCTCTTTTTTGCCTTGATCTATTAAGTTATTTAAAATTGCATTAAAATGCAGTCATGCAAAGAAAAACTTCCACACATCTCTTCTATGATGAGCATGTTTTCAATTTCTGAATTAAAACTCACACTGACATTTTTTTGTTGAGCATGAAGTCAAAAATGTCTAGGCAGTGTAATTTTTCAGAAATCTGGAAAAAACAACAACTCAGTGCTATAGTTAGTTTTTATTATTTCTTTAAAACAAACAGCCAAGTAAGTTTTTTTTTATTTTAAATATGATTAGTGTTTTAAATATACACATACACCAACATGTCTTCAAGGTGCAAGGAAAGTGGTAGCCTACTTTATACTCGGTTACACCACTTGACAGTTTTTAATTCATTAAATCTATATTTTTTACATACATGTATAGATGTTTCCAACACATTTATGTAGCCTACCCAACAGGAATAGAGCGAATTCAGGTAAGGCGACTTCTTGACATTGGAATGGTCCTTTTTACCTGAATTCATCCTTCAAAGATGACATTTCTAAGAAATGCACGTATGGCAACTGTATTCATAAAAGATTTCTAATTTTTATCATCTTGGACACGATTATGTGACGCAATTAACTTGAAACGTTCAGAGGTCTCGTTTGTTGTTGTGATGCTTTGGTTAACGCAGAATTATTTTAGGCTTCTTTTTTTTGGCTTCTCAGGTTGTTGTTTTCTTAATCGTGCACACCGGAACTCTTTATGTTCATTGTTACTTCCTTTCAGACGTTAACATGTAACAAACCCTGCGTGTTTGTGAATGGGAATGATTACTTCATAAAGTCACTGTATAACTCAATAATAACTCACCTCTCGAAGCTCTCGCGCAATACGCAGCCTACTTTTCCTCAGCGTCTTCTTCTGTCGTAGTTTCTAGTGCTGGTGGCAGAAACTCTGCGTTTCGAAAAGATTATAGGTTGTTTGAATTATCCAGCAAAAAAGGTGCCAATGTATTGGCCGTTTAAGAAGAAAGCGCTTCGCTGTGGTTAAACCGCGGGCAGACTCGAGAGTCGCGCGCTCAGTGAGCCAACAGTTGTGTAGTTTTCACAGCTCTGAACTCCGCCCGTGTCCACATCTGTCATTATTATGAGCTAGTCTCTTCTGAGCTATGCCACAATCGAAAAGAGCTTAAAAAGAAAGAGAAGAAAAGGAATGAAAGTAACACGCTTGAGTTTTATACGTTTATACATCTTGGTGTATTTTTGCTGAAGAGCGCGGAACGCGCACGCATTGTTCTGAAGAACTTCTGAGGGAAAATATTTTATAGGTAATTAAATCAAACATATGCATTGTCTACTGTTTCATGCCAGCTAATTTAACAAATTTTTATGTTTTTTAAATGTGTAGGGGGATCTTTGATATACGCTTTGAATGGATGTGCTCTTCATCATCATTGTTGACCGATATAAAATGGGCGTATGGACATAAATTGTGTTTTTCTTTTTCTTCTTCTTGATTATGTTGTACATCGTGCCATCATAATTACGGGAATGTGTGATTTAATCCAAGTGAACAGTTCTTCCTGATAAAACACAGCAGTCCACAGCCTTACAAGATTTACCGTGTTGCTTTAGTGCCATCTAGCAGAAATATTGCACCGTGCAAGTGTTTGAAAAAAAGGGCCCATTTTTAAAATATTTTCCCTTACAAATAACAGACTACCACAATCTGCCTGCCATTTTGAAATATATTTTAATTAAATAATAATAATATTATTATTATTAAGACACTATAACTAACTATATGTCAGACTAAGTGTTACATTTTGTGTCTCTATCTATTCTATTTTGAGATGTGATTAAATAATGGAATAACTGTTGTCCAAAATATCATTAAAAAAGAACTTGATGAATTACCTTTATTTAAATTTAAAGTGCACATAAAAAACACATGAATAGAATACAAATTTATCAGTGCAGCTATCAGAGAGGATGTTTGTGCGTTTACCACAAAAACTGAGCAATTTCACCTTACAGGTGCCACATTCCAAAAATAAAATAAAATAAAACAATTTATAGGTAAAAGCTGAATAGATCAAGTAAAATACAGACATAAAGACGTAATTTAAAGGAGAACACAACATGGTGGTTTGTGTCCAGGGTTGATAAATGCATGAATGCCCCTAATGGAGGTCTGGGCTCTTATGGCAGTGTATAAGCAAAGAGCATGACTGTGCTGAACTTTACAAGAGAGCTGCCTGCATGCTTCACTGTGCTAATTAGTCACATTTTCATTGTTTCTAATTCTTGCAAGTTAGAAAATCCACAGAAAATGTAAATCTCTTGTAAAGGTAATGCAATTGATGGCATTTGCATTTGGGGGGGGTAGTAAGTGTTGCCTGCTCATTCTCTTTATTTACCAGAGCCTACTATTTCCATTAGATGGACATTCAATGATTCAAGTCCCTGAACAGCTGGAAACTGTGTTGTTGTTTTTTTTTGTGTAATGAATTGCTCTAATGAGGTAATGTGTTCCCCGATTAAATAACTCAATCTTAAAATCTGGTAATAGCACTTCACCAATATTATTTACAATATAAAAAAAATGAAGAAAAAAAACGGAGGAAAACATAAGTGGTTAAACTGATGAAAAATTCAGTCTCTGATCTTTCAGATTCTCATCTTCTTTGGTAATTGGGTTCCTCCAGAGTCTGTGTAAAATGCAGAGAAGCTCAGCTTTTTATTTGCATGTCAAGCAGTTCTACTAGTTGATCCTTATTGATCACAAATTGTCTGATCAAGAGTGTAAGTGCTAGTCATACCTTATTACTTCAATGGAGGGGCATGATGGGAGGCATTTGGCTATTACTGTGGCTCCTGCTGTGGTGATATTATTGGCCTCCAGGCTGCAATCATTAGTTTTAATGACATCAGTATATTGCATCAGTATATTGTATATTGTGATCACACTAATAGCTAAACCTTCACAGCAAGCACTCAAGTACTTACTCAAGTCTTTTCAGCTTTGTACACAGGGGTAGAATCTCAGCCAGTGTCCGTGCCAGGCTGTCATCACATAAATTCCATGACAAGCTGAGGAAGACATTCATTCATAAACTAACAGCAGCTTTACAAACACACACAAACACAGGGACCGGGACAATGCAATGTCTGGGTCCATGCATTTATCAGTCAAACTGCAGCATTAAAAGAAATCTGAAAGGACTTATCCCACCTGACGTCCTCTATGGATGGACAGTGTTTGAGGGATGAGGCAACACCAACCAGATCTGAACTCCCAATCGAAGTCAAACTGAGAGACAAGTAGTCACACTGGTTTACAGTATGCAGCAGTATCTAACAACCAATCATGTTACATACCGTTCAAAAGTTTGGGGTCAATAAGTTTTGTAAATGTTTCCTAAAAAAGTCTCTTATGCTTACTAAGGCTGCATTTATTTAAACAAAAATACAATAAAACATTAATATTGTGAAATATTATTACAATTTAAAATAGCTGTTTATTTTCATATATTTCAAAATGCAAATTACTCCAGTGATGGCATTGATGAATTTTCAGCAGCGATTACTTCAGTCCTCAGTGTCACATGATCCTTCAGAAATCATTCTAATCTGCTAATTTGGTGTTCAAGAAACATTAATTATTATCAGTGTTGAAAACAGTTGTGCTGCTTAATATTTATTTATTTATTTATCGGAAACCTTGATATGAATGAATAGAAATGTCAGAATATGAATGTATTTACTGTAATTTTTTATCAAGTTAAGGCATCCTTGCTGAATAAAAGTGTGAATGTCTTTTAAAAGAAATCATACTGACCTCAAACTTTTGAACGGTAGTGCATGTGATGTAAAAAATGTATACATTCCACTTTATATATGTGGCTCTGTAATGTATTTAGTGTCTTACTGTAGTATTTTTAGTGCTTTCATGCTCATCAGACCTTCACAAAGAGACATGGATCCTTGTTGGCCAAACTGATTCTCTGACAAACTAAATAAAAACAATTTTATTATTCCCTGTCAGTGACATCTTTTTAAACCAATTGTTTCATCTAAAATTAATTCTGTAATTTTTCACCATCAAGACCACAGGACTTACTTGAGTTCTGAAAGCTGAGGCAGTAACGGAACGACTTGTGCTAGTTTAGCAGCACTGGCTTGACCAAGTTGGTTTTTGGACAGCCTGTGAATACAAAATAATAATAAAAAATGATCACCTACTGATTTCCCAAGTAATATCACTCATTAATTAAATAAAATAAATGTTTTACTGTAGTTTCTGAAGAACTCTGCAGTGGGATAGTGCTGCCAATAGCTTCTCTCCAGCCTGGTCAGTCACATTGTTGTCTGACAGACTGCAAAAAGTTCATCAAGGAAAATTAATAATGATGCAATGAATCCTTTCTTGCATTAAATTCATTAAAAAAAACTGAACAGTGCTGAATATTTTAAACACTGAAAAGTTGGTGTATCTATTTCCACCATATTTAATTGTTTTAATTGTGTCCACTAGAAGGCACACTACTATAATATAAACTGCTCAAGCACAGGAAAGGAATAATCTTCCTCGGTGCAGTTACCATACCTTAGTTTTACTAGTTCAGTCCATGAAGGAATGTATTTCACAAGTTCATAAGTACCACTGTCTCCAATTCTCCAACTTTCCAACCTGTAAACATCAAAAAATGTTTGCATATTACCAAACACTGTGGGCATTTGTGTGCATGTGCTTTTTACTAACCACAAAACTTACTCAATCTCTTCCATCTGTCTAAAACCCTTAAAAGAGGCCAGTAGACAGAGTATGCCAGTGCCATTCACAAATGTCTCTGATGTCACCACTCTGATTTTGTTCAAGCTGAGGAGAACAACCAACCAAAGTAGAGAAGAAAAAACAGGATGGGCTCTTAGGTGAGTACAGCAGATTATCGAGTACGTGCTAAATCTACAATGAACATTACAAGGTGTAAAAGCCTCACCTGAGCCTCCTAAGTGAGGTCAAACGGCTGAAGCCTTGAGCTAGAATGGTTATACCCTCCTCATCAAGTATCACAGAGTCAAGTCTATGATTGAGAACAGAATATTGAATATAGTATATCTTGTCAGTGATTGTGAATGCATTAAAAACTAGCCACACTTCTTAATTTCAAGAGAGCATGTGTTACCGTATCTCTGCCAGCGAGACACACTGCACCAGACCTCTGACCAGGTCCCGCCCTCGAGCTGCTGTCCAACCAGAGCACTGGGACAGACTGGACAAAAAGATATCGGCCCATCAGCAATGTCGCACTCTTTATCGCTGAGAAACAATGAAGAAAATCAGACACTTACTTGATCGACTTTAGATTTGGCACACTTTGAAGTGCTCTTTCAAGTACTGTAGCTCCATGGTCACCTAAAACAAGCTGGGACAAACTGGAAAACCAGAGGCAAAGGGAAATGTTGAAACATATGGGAAGGAAAAGGTAAATAAGCTCACTGAATGAAATTACACATAAATATTCTGTGTCAAGATCACTTTAAACTTGGATAAAGGGGTCAAGAGAAAGACAACACACCTCAAACTCTCAAATGATGTAGTTTTTGGTAATGCTTCCATAAGTGTTGCCACCTCATCCTCAGCTGCTCCTTTCAAATCAAGACTGTAAAAAACAATACTTATTATAACACCAAGAGTGTTGCATACAGATGTTTCTACAACTTCAAAGTCCCAGGGGCTGATTTTTTTAAACAAACAGATTTAAAATGATTTGGTTACATTAAAACTCAGAATCTTTTTACCATGCAGTTATATTTAGTGTAGATTTTATGAATGAAAATCAACAGTAAAATAGTACGTTAAATTACAATTATTAAATGTTTTAAAATTATTTTATCCATTTGAAAAAAAAGGAGTTGTGGCAGCAATTCCATCAGTACGAGAATAAATATACAACACATAATGAGCAGAATATTTTTTATTGCACTTAATTTCCTATTTAGCTTTAATTTTGTCAAATTTTGCAAATAGTATGAAAAATGATTTACTTCTGTATATTTAGAATACTTAGATGCAATTAAATTAGCCCCGCAACAAAAACAAGTTGTACATTTTATTACAAAAATGTTTAAGTGTGCTATTAAAAACAATATAATTATTTGAGATGTGGAAATGACACTGTGGTGGCAAAACGCCATAAATGTCCTGTGATGCATGTATGTTACATATTATGTAAAAAGTATGTTTTAAAAGAAACACCCACATATACAGTATAAAATAAAGATGACTGATCTTTGGAACACTTACGTGAGGTTCCTGAGATTCCGTAAGAAGGGAATGACCGCAGAAAAAAAATCTGCACCTTTTCTGTCCACTTTGAGCTGAGAGAATCTGGACATAAAATAAAGCAGAATTTATACTAAGGGGAAAAAAACATCTAATAGACAAAAAAGTTAGTATCAACTCTCATTGGCTTACCTTAAATCCTGCAAGGCATGACATTTCTGAATGGGAAGTGTCAGAGGAGCGAGATGCTGTCCTTCTATGTCACAGTCATCAAAGCTAAAGAATGTGACAAAAGTGGAGTTGTACATCAAATATGGCGAATATAACAAAAATAAGAGTGAATAAAAGCACAAAACAAACAAGCTGACAATCAAACAAAAAACCAACACACCTGATGGACTGCAGAGCAGGTGAGAAGTTTTCAGAATGACCTCTGTCAGAAGGAAAAAGGGCCAAATTAGCTTTGCATATTTATTTACATTATTTATAGCACTCCATATTCTATGAGCATAAAAATATATGGAATTATCAAACTTACACAAAAGTGGATCTAGGACTGGAATTTCCCTCTGTAATGATGTTTATGGATGCACGGTTGACGCTGCAAATATTGGGTAAAAGATGTTTTTCTCATTTTGTGATCTCACCTCTTTTTTGCTCTACACGTTTTACTTAATCACTTGACAATGCATTATTAAGTTAGGATCATTTGCAAATTTACAAATTTAAATCGGTTTGTGCCATTGAACATAAATGTTTGAGTTGGGATGAAATAAGAGCAACATCGTCACACAGGAAATCATTCAGTATACACCCACAACCGACCCACAATTAAGTAAATACATACATTTTGGTTCATTCAAGAGACTTCAAAGAACAGGTGAAATGTTAATACTATTAATATCACTTCGTCTCTGTCACTACATTTGAAAACATTTGCAGTTTTATAGACCTTTTAATACAAACATTGTGGTGTGCTGACAAGTTTCATTACAGCCACGAAGCAATCAGTGGTCACAATATGTGTGTCCATTGATTGTGGGTTACTGTTTCAGAACCGCACCTGATTTCTTTGATGTGTGGCTGCAAATTTAGGCATTTGGCAATGAGACTGGCAACAGCATTTCCTGTCAGCCACGGCTCTTCAATCCTAATAAAGACATTCCAAACACATTGTTATTCTAACAGTGCATCTGCTATATAAAAGTAGCAACTAATCACAGATTACATCTGTTCTTCGTTGTTTCTTCAAATTAAGGCACTTAGGACTTTAAGATATTTGCAAAATAAACTCATTAAAACAAATTTCCTACACTCACAAGTTTGTAATCTAAAAACAGTGCATATACATGTCTTATAGGGGAAATGTCATTTTTTCCCCCGCATATCCACCATAGTGTAGTTTCCAACAAATTTCAAATCATGTTTTGTGTTTAACATTTTGTGGTGGAATAAATGGAATATGTCTTGCTAAGGCTAATTTAATAGGTAGCATTTTATATATATCAAATAAACACAATTACATTCAATTACACTATTACCGGACCTTGATTTTTGCTTTCTATTCCTTATGTTTCATATTTCTTATCACTGTTGTCTCAGACACAGCTGTTTATTTGGTAAACAAGTGCACTAACCATTGAAAATCTTTTAACGGGGGAATTTTGTTAGTCATGATGAAAATGATACATAAAGGTGGCCATAATTTGTGTAAAACTGATGTATTATTTTTACAGTGGAATTTCTTTTTAAATTGATAGTATGGGTTTGAGACAAGGGTAGAAACCAAAAATCTGTTAAGAAATGCATAATAAAAAGTTTCAAAATTCCAGAAGTTGAAGAAACATTTTTAAATAAAAATATGTTTTGTTCATTTCTTACCTGGTGTCTCTGTGTTGGTGACAGCTACTTAACTTTTTAACAAAATACTCAATCTGCTCAGAACTCAGACCATTACTTCTTAATCTTAGAGGAACAGAAAAAAGCGCATTAAAAATGTGCCAAATATGCCGTTTTAAAAATATCCAAGAAACGTATGAGTACTGTTGAAATAGTCAGTGAGATCAATCCTTAACAATCAACAATCTTTGTAAAATCTTACTTCACAGTTTGGATTGTGGAGAGCTCAACCAGGCTGTCCAGTAGAGAGAAAAGGCCTTGACTGTGCAGTGAATTAGAAGACAATCTAAAGAAAAGAGGAACAATCAATGTTTATTTAAATGTGACCCTGGACCACAAAACCAGTCTTAAAGTTCCCATGAAATCAAAATTAAAGTTTTTTGGGTGTTAGTATCAATATGTTAGTCTTAAGGTTATCTATAAGGCAGTGTGCTCCAAAACAGTGACAAAATTCGCATTTAGAAGATATAAGCATTCAAAGCTTGCAGTTCGTCACTTCCGCCAAAACGGCTCAACGATTTTTTTTGACGTCACATCGTACTTCAGCTTCTCATCAAACTTTCTGTCCAATCAAATGCTCTCTAGAATCCGAAGCGCCCGCCCCCTAGCCCCTACACTATAAAATAGACGCTGAAGCCGCGGCTGAAATCGGTCACTTGTCCACAGAATTAGTATTTTCTGTACAGTGAATGGCACGTAGTACACTATATAGGGGACAGGGAACGATTCAAACAGTGTAAAATTCTACACAGAATGCTATATTTTATAGCAATATGGATGAGATTGTGGCTGGCATACCCTGTCAAATGCGGCTTTATGGAGCTCAACGGCTCTGAATGGCTCTTGCCCAAGCTGTGATATAAACGAACGCTATTGGCTATTTTAAAAAGGGGTGGGGCTGCTTGATATGTCCCGCCCTGTCTTCCTGTTTCAGTTCAAATTACGTCAACACAGAGTAACGCTGCGTGTTTCTAAGCATTTCAGGGGACCTTTAAGTCGCTGGGGTATATTTGTAGCAATAGTCAAAAAAACATTGAATGGGTCAAATTTATTGATTTTTCTTTTATGCCAAAAATCATTAGGATATTAAGTAAAGATCATGTTCCATGAAGATATTTTGTAAATTTCTTACCGTAAATATATCAAAACTTCATTTTTGATTAGTAATATGTATTCCTAAGAACTTTATTTGGACAACTTTAAAGGCGATTCTTTCAGTATTTAGATTTGTTTGCACCCTCAGATTCCAGATTTTCAAATAGTTGTATCTCAGCCAAATATTGTCCTATTTATTCAGCTTTCAGGTGATGTATAAATCTCAATTTAAACAAATTGACCCTTATGACTGGTTTTGTGTCACAAATGGTCATGAAACCTTAAAACACATTTTTTATTTTAACAGATATGTACAGTTTGCACATCCCTGAAAACGCTAATAGTACTCAATAAATGGAATAAGGGGATTAATAACAGGAAGAATCTATAAAATATAGCACTTTTCTGAGAAGACAAATAAAGAATACGGAGTCTCATTAGTTAATAAATTTGCAAAACACACACATAGTAACACAACTGTGCTCAAATACTCACTCTAATGTAAGTAGTCTAGGGCATCTGTTCACTATTTCCACAAGCTTCTTCAAGTGTATGACCTCAAAACTGCACTCCCTTAGCCTGTAGTTAAGAGTAAGACAACAGTAAGAGGAAGCTAAACATCAAACTACTTTCACTTTTGACTTGAGTGAATAAATCATACTATTCACGTGACTCTCTGATTGTGTTTTTGCAACACATGTATTCTGGGAAATTACCTAAGAGTTTTGCCATTGACATGTTCCTGCACAAACTTAATCAGAGACTGATCTTCCACTCCAAGACTAAAGATGAGAAACACACATATAATACGCAAGCCGATCATTGTTCATGTCAATGAAAAGTAAGGAAAGAATGGAAGTGATAGTGTGTTAGTCTTTACCTGACTTCAACAGCAACAACTTTCTCACAGGTGTTCATTGAGTTGACCAGATGCAGTGCCCCGACTTGAGTTATTTGGTTACCGGTGAGGCTGCGAAGGAGCGCAATAAGTAAACTTTACAAGGTAAATTAATCCATAATTTCAATTACAAGCAAACACTACAACTGTCACTGAACTCTTACCTCACCGAGCTGGAGATCTTTAGTTTAGGCAAATAGTCAACAAAACATTTCACCCCTTCATCATGAAGAAGGTTATGAGACAAACTACAGTGGAGAAGGAAATAAAAAATGAACTGTTTGTGATTACTGGACAGTAAAATACACCAACTTCTATTAAGATGGAGGTAAAAGAACAGAGGAACACTTACTCCAATTCAGATAGGCGAGGACAGTTTTCCAGTATCCTTGAGAGCTTCTCGACATTGCTTTTGCACAGTTTATACTCTGTGAGCCTGTTAACATCAGAGAGAGAGTCAAAACCTCCAGTTTCCAAAAGTGCAAGGGCCACAAAATTAACTGAGAAATAATCTATTGCAGTGATACAGCATTACGGAATTCAGTTTGAGATGTATTGCATCAAAGACAGTGTTATTTTAGCATTACTTACTATATACTGTTACAGTATTTATTAATTAATAAAATTAATAATGAATTTTAGTATTTCTACATTTGCCATTTTCATTTAGGTTTGTTAAGTTTTTCATCTAATATTTATATTTTATTTCATTTCAGCTTTATTTCAATTACAGAAAACTATTTATAATAGATTTAGTTAACAAGAACAACACTTTTGACCAGCGTTGATCATTGTAACCAATCACAAACTTGTCTGTTGCATGCATAGATGATTAAGCAAATTATAGGAAGAAGAAATCCACCTATTACCGCTCAAATGCCGAGTTTTGTTAGCATGATCTTACTAAGTTCTGCACTCTCACAAATGCTCTCATTAAAGCCAGCAAGGTGTAGAACTAATGTAAATAAGAGATTTCGTTGTACAGTGTAAACTACTTCACAGAATCTTCACAAGAAGGCAGAACAGTCAGTGAGCATGCGCTGAGCTTAAGTAATTATAAAAAAAAAAAAAAAAAAAGGGATGTCTAATGCTATTTCATGCATTCTGACTTATTTACACTGTTAAAGAGTTGGATTCTCATGCTAAACATGGCCAAAGTTTATCAAAAAAATGAGTTGGACATATGACAGAGTATTTCTGTGCCAAATACACTTCTTCAGGGTTCGTATAAGTTTCGGAAAGTATGGCCCTATATGACGTCATAAAGCGCGGAGCACTTTGAAGAGCGTGTGCACACATTAACCAGCAATGCCCAGCAATGGTGGTAAGATGACATTACTAACTTGCAAATTGCTGCCTCTGCCTTTTCAGGAACAAACTTGATGAATGCTTCTGCCTGGTGCCTGAGAATCATGTTAAAAGCAACTTTAGAAAAATAAATCAAGATTTGTGATTTTAAAAGTATATTTAAAGCTGCAGTCTGTAAGTTTTGCCTCTTTGTCGCCATTTCTGTTTGAAAACCTGGAATTGCAGCTGTGTGCGGAATTATCTAGCTTGCATAGGTTGTGAGTGGGTGGCTCCAGCGCGGATGAATTTAATGTTCTGAAGAGTATGTGCGGCAGTCAGTCACAATCACAGATTCTAGCCTACGTCTTGGAATATGACCCAATTAAGAATTTTCACCGTATATTGCCATCTGAACAAGTAAGTAACAAGTCTGCCATGTTTGTTCTGACCAACTGAGGAAAAAAGCATTACCATAAATCTCGCTACCAATGGTGATTAAATCTAAAGATCGGTTAGCTCATATCACATCAAACCGTTCAAATTATTATTATTGTTATACTTTATTCTCAAATGATT